AGACATCGCTGCGGCTGAGCTGTGATGTAACAGGGTACGGTCTCCTCTGGAACGGTGAAGCAGTCATCGTAGGAGTCGCTGCAGGTTTTCACTCAACCTGGGGCACGACATGCTGGTGCCCTCGAGTGAGGCGTCGACAAAACTCGACAACTGGGCAGGACTTCTGGCAAGCGACTCAGGAGGACACTTCTCGACTGGTACTGTCGCTGGGCTGTCACTGCTGGCGAGCATGGAGCGAGTTGTGGAGCGAGTCGTGGCAGAGACAACTGGGCGAAACATCTGGGAGTAGTAACATCATACACCAGACTGCAGTGAGAGAGCTAGCAGTCAAAGTGACATCTTCTTTGTGCAGGCTGCTCACCGAAGCTTGTGACACGAGGCTGATACAGCGCCTGCTGACAGGGCTAACTGTGGCTTGACGAGTGTCATTCTCTCGGCAGTTGAAGTTATAGCAGAGGTTAGTCTAAGCGTCCCCAGACTTGTTTCTCTACATATAACTGCACTCTGAAGGTCTGGAGGCTAAGTGAATTATTATTATTATTATTATAATCAAAAGGAAGTGCTAAGCCACAAGGGCTATACAGGAGGCAAAGTGAAACAAATCTCGATGGGAATCGTAGCAGGCACGATTCTGCAGAACATCACGAGTGACGAGCATAAAAGCTTTCTGTACAAGAGGGCTCGGGCTCAGAGCTGACTGATAACAGCTGTCAAACACACTGGTCACACCAGGTGACTTAGCACAGTAGTGCTACTCAGGTCTAGCTCAGACCTCACTGGACACACGGAAACTTTACACACACCCGCTGTACATGCGGTACACTAACATGTGAGAACACTGACTGAGAGGAATTAATTAGCACACGACATATATCTTCTCTCAATCTTCTCGGCAATACTGAAATAATTACTAGAAACACTCGATGTGACATCATGTGATGTCAGGCATGATGTCGCGAGGTGACGTCAGCAGCACTGTGACGTCAGCAGACATCTCGAGGTGACGTCAGGCAGACATTGTGACGTCATGAAGTCGGGCAGCATTGTGGGTGACGTCAATGTGATGCGGGCAGCAGACCACAGCATGTGGCCTGGGACATCTGGCTCTGTAACTGACGTGGCTTGTAGATCCACGTGACATCGCCCACACCCCACATGGCGTCGGGATCCACATGGTGTCGTGATCTACGTGACGTGCTGATCCACGGAGCAGAAAACACAGCAGAGGGAGTGAGTAGTGGTGAGTGTATGGTAGACGGGTGAGCGTGAGTAGGGCGAGCATGGGCAAGGTGAGGAACGGCCACTTCCTCCTCCTCCTCCCCCACCCACAAACACGTGGAGGAGCTCACACTGGACGCAGAAATTAATAAGCTGGCAGACAGCATGGGCTGTCTGTGCAGACAGTACAGGCTGTCTACAAATACCAGACTGATGGTTGATAATATTGTAATATATGAGAAAAAGTTAGTTGACAGTGTGATGATGATGACATCTTGCTGAATGATGTGAGACAGTGTGATGATGATGACATCTTGCTGAATGATGTGAGACAGTGTCATGATGATGACATCTTGCTGAATGATGTGAGACAGTGTCATGATGATGACATCTTGGTGAATGATATAAGAGAAATGAGTGTGCGAACGAGAGAGAGAAAGAGAGAATAATTTCTAAAATCAGTGTAAGAATATACAGAATAAACAAGTGTGTGAACAGTCTCTAAAACGAAAATAACATTTCCAATTATTCAAATGAAGGTTTTAATTATATATTAAATTATTACACCCTTTTAATATACTTCTGACGTATTTCTTACAAAAAACAAATGCTAAAAAATAATAGTATTCATGATCAATGCAGGCATCTGCAATTTAATAAAAAAATAGGGAATGATAAAAATAGTGAGCTGGATCTGATGACGCTGCTGACACCTGAGGTCTGTCTCACTCTCAGACCACATCAATCTTCCTGGTAAACAACAATTTTAAAACCCTCATATATCTCCATCCAGGTGGTGGCCAGTAGGTTGCTCCTTGGCACCAACAAACATTAACAATACTTAGGTATCTTTATTTCGAGAAGCTTCGCCTGAACAATAGTCTTCTTCAGTCGAATACAGAGTGATCAGGAGGCAGTTATCATTGTGATTCAACTTGACAGTGTGATTTACCACACTGTCTTTTCTGTCTTGTACACAGATGAATTACATACTTGTACAACGCTTGGTTATATTTATGTTGGAAGCATTTTGTCAACCAGTAGTTTCATCAGTCAATGCAAAGATGAGTGGAAGATGTGAAGGAGATCGAAGTAATTAGTCACTTCACTTGGAGACATGTTCAATCCGTCATTCTTCATAAGTAGAGCGAATGCAAGAAGAGGTTAATGTACACTTGGAGGCGGATTCACAAACAGACAGAATCCACCAATGGAAGCATAACATGCTTCACCTCACCTGTCTTTAGTAAATAAGCCCCTCCCATTGGAGTGGCGGGGTGAAGCTCGGTTTCTGGAGTGGTGCGGTGAAGCTCGGTTTCTGGAGTGGTGAGGTGACGCTCTCTTTCTGGAATGGTGGGGTGACGCTCAGTCTCTGCAGTGGTGGAGTGAAGCTCACTTTCTGGAGTGGTGCAGAGAAGCTCAGTCTCTGGAGTGGTAGAGAGCTCAGTTTCTGGAGTGGTGAAGTAAAGCTCAGTTTCTGGAGTGGAGTGAAGCTCAGTTTCTGGAGTGGTGGAATGAAGCTCAGTTTCTGGAGTGATGGAATAAAGCTCAGTTTCTGGAGTGGAATGAAGCTCAGTTTCTGGAATGGTTGAGTAAAGCTCAGTTTCTGGAGTGGTGGAGTGAAGCTCAGTTTCTGGAGTGGTGGAGTGAAGTTCAGTTTCTGGAGTGGAGTAAAACTCAGTTTCTGGAGTGGAATGAAGCTCAGTTTCTGGAGTGGAGTGAAGCTCAGTTTCTGGAGTGGTGGAGTGAAGCTCAGTTTCTGGATTGGAGTGAAGCTCAGTTTCTGGAGTGGAGTGGAGCCAGTTTTCTGGAGTGTGGATGAAGACTCAATTTCGGCAGTGGTGAGATGAAGCTCAGTTTCTTGGAGTGGAGTGAAGCTCGTCTCATTGGAGTGGGGAGTGAAGCTCATGTCTGTATAGTGGTGCGTGGGCTCGATGTCTGGTATAGTGGGAGGTGAGAGCTCATCGTCTGGTACAGTGGGGGGTGAGGCCTCAGTGTCTAGTAGTAGTGGGGTGAGGCTCAGTGTCTGGTACAGTGGGGTGAGGCTCAGTGTCTAGTATAGTGGGGTGAGGTTCAGTGTCTGGTATAGTGGTGGTGAGGCTCAGTGTCTGGTATAATGGGTGAAGGCTCACAGTCTGGTATAGTGGGGTGAGGCTCAGTGTCTGGTTAAGTGGGGTGGAGGCTCAGTGTCTAGTATAGGGGTGAGGCTCAGTGTCTGGTACAGTGGGGTGAGGCTCAGTTGTCTGTATAGTGGGGTGAAGTTCAGTGTCTGGTATAGTGGGGTGAAGCTCAGTGTTCTGGTATAGTGAGTGAGGCTCACAGTTGTATAGTGGGGTAAGGCTCAGTGTTCTGGTACTAGTGGGTGAAGGCTCAGTGTTGTGGTAGAGTGGGGTGAGGCTCAGTGTCTGGTATAGTGGGGTGAGCTCAGTGTCTGGTATAGTGGGGTGAGGCTCAGTTGTCTGGTAAGTGTGGTGCGGCTCAGTGTCTGGTACAGTGGTGTGAGGCTCCAGTGTCTGGTATGGTGGGGTGAGGCTCATGTCTGGTATAGTGGGGTGAGGCTTAGTGTCTGTTCTGGTATAGTGGGTGAGGCTCACGTCTGTGTCTGGTATAGTGGGTGAAGCTCGTGTCTGGTACAGTGGGGTGAGGCTCATGTTTAGTATAGTGGGGTGAGGCTCAGTGTCTGGTACAGTGGGGTGAGGCTCAGTGTCTGGTATAGTGAGGTGAGGCTCAGTGTCTGGTATAGTGGGGTGAAGCTCAGTGTCTTGTATAGTGGGGTGAGGCTCAGTATCTGGTATAGTGGGGTGAGGCTCAGTGTCTGGTACAGTGGGGTGAGGGTCAGTGTCTGGTATAGTGGAGTGAGGCTCAGTGTCTCTTACAGTGGGGTGAGGCTCAGTGTCTGGTATAGTGAGGTGAGGCTCACAGTCTGGTATAGTGGGGTAAGGCTCAGTGTCTGGTACAGTGGGGTGAGGCTCAGTGTCTGGTATAGTGGGGTGAGGCTCAGTGTCTGGTATAGTGGGGTGAGGCTCAGTGTCTGGTATAGTGGGGTGAGGCTCAGTGTCTGGTATAGTGGGGTGCGGCTCAGTGTCTGGTACAGTGGGGTGAGGCTCAGTGTCTGGTATGGTGGGGTGAGGCTCAGTGTCTGGTATAGTGGGGTGAGGCTCAGTGTCTGGTGTCTGGTATAGTGGGGTGAGGCTCAGCGTCTGGTGTCTGGTATAGTGGGTGAGGCTCAGTGTCTGGTACAGTGGGGTGAGGCTCAGTGTTTAGTATAGTTGGGTGAGGCTCAGTGTCTGATATAGTGGGGAGAGGCTCAGAGTCTGGTATAGTGAGGTGAGGCTCAGTGTCTGATATAGTGGGATGAAGCTCAGAGTCTGGTATAGTGAGGTGAGGCTCAGTGTCTGATATAGTGGGATGAGGCTCAGAGTCTGGTATAGTGGGGTGAGGTTCAGAGTCTGGTATAGTGGGGTGAGGCTCAGTGTCTGATATAGTGGGGTGAGGCTCAGAGTCTGGTATAGTGGGGTGAGGCTCAGAGTCTGGTATAGTGGGGTGAGGCTCAGAGTCTGGTATAGTGGGGTGAGGCTCAGTGTCTGATATAGTGGGGAGAGGCTCAGAGTCTGGTATAGTGAGGTGAGGCTCAGTGTCTGATATAGTGGGATGAGGCTCAGAGTCTGGTATAGTGGGGTGAGGCTCAGAGTCTGGTATAGTGGGGTGAGGCTCAGAGTTTGGTATAGTGGGGTGAGGCTCAGAGTCTGATATAGTGGGGTGAGGCTCAGAGTCTGGTATAGTGGGGTGAGGCTCAGTGTCTGATATAGTGGGGTGAGGCTCAGTCTGGTATAGTGGGGTGAGGCTTAGTGTCTGATATATTAGGGTGAGGCTCAGTAGCTGGTGAGGTGTAATGTGGTGAACCTCAGTAGCTGAGGTTATGTAGTGTGGTGATGTGAGGTTTAATGCATATTGGAGTGGGTTATGTGGTCATCAGTGATGGTGTTTGTGTGATGAAGAGAGCCTAGTATGGACAACTCTGCCAGCCTTGATGACATGGGAGATAGCTTGGTCTGCTCCTCCCAGCTGGTATACCAGGTGCTCCCACCTGAAAGATTCAACAAGCAGTCAGTCTTTTTTCACTTTTAAAGCAGAACTATAAGCTGTCAGCATTAAACTAAAATTGAACAAATTATTCTGTTGTCACAACTGAAAGATCTCACTTAACTATAACGAGCAACAATCAGTATCCTTGATTTTTAAGGTAAAATGGCTTCCTTAAAGTCATTTATATTTAATTATATTTCTTTAAAATGTTACCAACGACCGAGTTGAACCTGACGTTCTTGGTAGAGAAGACTATTATACAAATAATTATTACCATTACTCATAGGAATTTATAGGGCAGATAAGAACAGACTGAGATGACCAGCTTGAGGAGGACACAGATGGAAAGTAGAAACATAAATGTGTCACAGTGAAGATATTAAGTTAGTTTCCTGCCACTTGGTAGCGGAATAAGGTGAATGTGGAAGTAGTGAAGACCAACTAAAACATAACATTTAGAGCAAATGTGATAAGGCTGAAGAAATTATACACCAGCGATGCCGGTTAATGAAGTGAGGTGGGGATAGAAATATGTGAGTAAACTTCGGTAAGTATGAATGGATGGAGGCACGCATTTGTACACGTATACGCACGTACATGCACACACGCGCACAGGCACACACGCTGTCATGCAGAAACAAAATTACGCATCTATTATTATCCATCACTATTACTTTTATGTATTATTATTATCATTATTATATATAGGATGCTCATACCACTGTCATTTCTGGTCATGACTGCAGCGTGACTAAAAGGTGACATAATGGTATGTTATATAAATACTGTACGTTATAAACCTATACACATGTTGTGTCATGTAGTTGCTATATAAACATGTAAATGAGACACTTGTGCAGCATTTGGGATTCTTTATTCTGGAAAGAGATTGAAGAAGCCTCGCAGTGTCTTCAGTCCAATACAGAGACAGGTGGAAGATGAGGAGTTTGAGTTAATCAGTCCCTCAGCCTAGAGTCGATGTGTTCCTTCCATCAATCTTGACAAAAGTACAGCATATTCGTGGAGATGGAGCTTATATACTGATGACAGGTGAGGTGGAGCAGTGGTAGGCGGCCTCACCTACCTGACAGGATGTTGCTGTGTCTGACAGGATGTTGCTGTGTCTGACAGGATGTTGCTGTGTGTGACAGGATGTTGCTGTGTGTGACAGGATGTTGCTGTGTCTGACAGGATGTTGCTGTGTCTGACAGGATGTTGCTGTGTCTGACAGGATGTTGCTGTGTCTGACAGGATGTTGCTGTGTCTGACAGGATGTTGCTGTGTCTGACAGGATGTTGCTGTGTCTGACAGGATGTTGCTGTGTCTGACAGGATGTTGCTGTGTCTGACAGGATGTTGCTGTGTCTGACAGGATGTTGCTGTGTCTGACAGGATGTTGCTGTGTCTGACAGGATGTTGCTGTGTCTGACAGGATGTTGCTGTGTCTGACAGGATGTTGCTGTGTCTGACAGGATGTTGCTGTGTCTGACAGGATGTTGCTGTGTCTGACAGGATGTTGCTGTGTCTGACAGGATGTTGCTGTGTCTGACAGGATGTTGCTGTGTCTGACAGGATGTTGCTGTGTCTGACAGGATGTTGCTGTGTCTGACAGGATGTGGATAAATAGTTTAGAAAGTCAACAAGTTGATAACTGAGACACAAGCTGCACAAGTGTCTTATTTATCAACTTGTCGGGTTTCTTAAGCATTTATGCACAACCTTGAGTATTCTTTAAAGTTTATTTTGTTTTGATAGTAAAGGATTACCTAAATTATGAATGATATTTAAATTACACTTAACATCTCTATTAAATATCTTATTTATTATTCACTATATCTAGTTTCACATTCGGTCACTGAGAGATTGGATTACATTATAAATGTTTTATACTTGTGTAAAAAATATTGAGTTTGAATTACATTAATATTTTTTGCACATCAGAAACTTCTGTATCTCCATAGTAATTGTGGTCACGTGACATTGCATTCTCTGTTGTGATTGGCTGTTTGAGTTCCTATTGTGGCCGGGAGATGACTTTTGAATCAAGCTTTGCTGTGGTTAGTACGCTGGATTCCGTGTAGCCAGCAGTGACAGTCTGGTTGATCAGACCTTGATCCACCGGGAGGACTGGTCAAGGACCGAGTCGCAGGAGAAGGAGCGTCGACCCTCTGAGCCACAGACAGGCAGTAACAGTCAGGTACAGTTATTCCATCTGTCTCTCTTGATAGCGCAAAAATCAAAGTAGAATGACATTAAGATAAAATAAGATTTTGTTTGGATTTTTAACCCCGGAGGGTTAGCCACCCAGAAAAATCCAAGAAAAGAAGTGCGTCATCGAGGGACTCTGTCTTATTTCTACTATACGATAGGCGTTTAGCTTTTAATTTCTAAGCTGTATATTATATTTAACTCTGGTTTGAGTGTATTTCCGTTGGCTAATTACTGTGTCATTTATAATACTGTCCTAGCTCTACAAACTGACGTTATTTATGTTGGTCTATCAAGCTTTCTGATCCCTAGTGCGGTGACCCTTATTATGACACTGTACACAAATAACAAAAAAAAGGCACAGTACCGTGACTGGAACGATACACAAATAACCCGCACATAGAAGAGAGGAGCTTATGGCGACGTTTCGGTCCGACTTGGACCATTTACAAAGTCACACTAACGAAAAGTAGAGCAAGACGGGTATATATAGGCAGGAAGAGGCAGTGGTAGTAGTAGTTAAGTAGTAGTATTAGTGTAGTAGTATAGAGTAGTATTATTTAGTTAGTAGTAGTTTAGTAGTAGAAAGTATGGTGGGTGGTGTTGTGGTGTGTGGCGGGCGAGATTACAATGGAAAATTTTCCGATTATTATTATATTATTTTTATTATTATTATTATTTTAAATATTAATATATTATTGCCTTGTGGTATATTCTTTTCACGCCTTTACTGTGTTTTGGGGTAGGGTCCGTGTGTCTTCCTTAAAAAATAAATTTTAGTTTGTTCTGGAAAACTTTCATATTCGGAAAACATAGTGGATAGTTTCTAAAATTATCTATCAGTGATTTAAACTTATGACTTTTCCTGTCTTCTCCCTCTCTGGGGGTCACTGTCACTGCCGGAGTGGCAGCGTAATTAGTTTCGATTTTCATCGGACTTTTGATTTATATGATTTATTCCCAAATAAAGCGTGGACGTTAGGAATGAATATTGCATTTTCCGCAGTCTTGTTTCATACTGTTATACAGCCTTCATGTGTCTCAGGTACTCTCCTTGTTTTCGCAATACAAGTCTTGCTGATATAAATGGGATTGGATCTACGGAACTCTATACATAATTTATATTTAAATGGCAGTGTGCTCATTGATTATTGTATAGAATTACAATTCTATATTATATACTTTATCGTGTACACCTAACATAGCAGTACGGGGTCTGGTTGTGTGGCATAAGTACTGTGTACTTTGATACATTGTGCACAGGTGTGAGTACGGAAATTGTTAATCAATCTAAAATATTATTTGAAATCCAGTGCTTGTCGCAGAATGAGCTGAAATAACTTATCACAAGCCTTGTGCTCCGGGATATGGGCAATAATGCCTAGCTTCGGCTAAGCGACATACTTTTCTATATCTCGCTGTGTAGTGTGAGGTCGTTCTAGGGATCAACACACCCGCACCCCGGTCCTAGACCAGGCGCGGGGGCAGCACGTAGTCCAACGTACTAACCACAGCCTGGCTGATTGGGCGACGGATCTATTGGTAATTCCCGTCATGTATGACTGGAGGCTGTTGAAGTCTTGTTTTCTCAGTGTAATCATGGTACCCCTGCTTTTCATTGGGGGTTGTAGATTATGATGTATCTTTCTCGTCTGTGCTCCAGAGAGTACAGGCCAAGAGACTTCAAACATTCCCAGTAATTAAGGTCCTCGACTTAATTAATGCGTGGAGTGAAGGTTCTCTGTACATTCTCTAGACCTGCAATTTCACCTGCCTTGAATAGGGGTGTTAGTAAGCAGCAGGATTCCTGTGGAGAAATTTTCTCCAGGAGGGGGAAACCCGGGCCCCTTCAGCCCCCTAAAGCCCCTTCGGGCCCTTTCAGATGAGGGCCACTGAAGGGCCGAGCGTTTTGTTTACTGCTTGAGTGAGTAATTGTCAAGATGCCCGTAATGAGTGGTCAAATACCTCTGCTCCTTGCAGCGGGTTGCAAGTGTATTTTAAAGAACAGACTTCTACTAGCAGGACAAAGGAAATCCTGCTCCACTTTTTTAAACCTAGAAAAAATTTAGTGTACATTGTTGTCTTGCTAAGACAGGCAGGAAAAACATTTGCTTTGCTTAATTCGAGGAGGTGACAGGGATGCAAGGTATATTCACCCCCGTTTTTTTTTTGGCTGGGCCAGTGACGTGAGGGAGCCCTGTAGCGTCTGGCAGACAAAACTTTGACTCTACTCGAGAACTGAGCCGGGGAAAACCCAGCAAAGGACACTGATCTGTGCGTTAGTGTTGAATAAGTGTCTCACACAACCAATAACACTTAAGAATTTGTGACAGCTTTCCTCTTGATACATGGGGAAACAATAAAGACGAATCTTGTTGAACTTTTGTACAGTGTCTTTTCCTAACAATGGAAAGAGTTGACTCCGGGGAAAATTCACTTCTATCAAGTCACCGAAAATCTGTCGAAGGTGTTGAAAACACCTAGGCACGTTACAAGAGCAAGGTATGTTCCCAAAAATTTTCCTTGTAGTCGGGGATTGCGAAATTCTTGAGTCACAAGGAGTTTGTAATCAACTATAATGGGCAGTAGGTGTGGACTTTTGAGCCCAAAAACAAGTAAGTATTCGTCAGCATCACGAATGAAATATGCGAATAACTACCCCCTAGGGTTAATTTATACTTACAAATGTATCTCTTAAACACACTGTTGTGATGGTTTCGACAGATCTAAAACTCGTTGCAGGGACGGTGTGTAGACGATTTGCGTCATTTACAGCTAAGTGTTCATTATAAAA